TGTTCCATTTCACTAGATTGTAACCTTTCCGCTCCTTTTTTCCATGCCATAGGAAGTTTCTTATCAATTTATCTAGCACTTTGAGTACTTGAGGAAATGAGGGGATGAGGGGTCCCATCTGTCTCAACCCTTCTTTTGGCTAAAAATATACGGGTTCTCCATTTACCAAAATTGAAAAACTGGTGGTTTTAATGCAAAAACTTATACCAATTCAGCCATATTCTTCCAAAACCCATTTGCCTGGGATGCTGAGTAAGAACTTCCAATTGATGTCGTCGAACGCCTTTTCAATGTCTAATTTGCACACTACCCCTGGTTTTGAGCCTCTCAAACTGGTATCTACACACTCACTTGCCACCAAAGTTGCATCCATAATGTCTTCAACCTTTCAACTAGTACTTCTGCAATGATCTTGAACATTCTAGAGATGGTCTGAAGTCTCTAAACTTGGTTGTACCCATCTTCTTTGGGATAAGAACTACAAATGTGGCATTGAAGCTCTTCTAAACCTGTTGCGAATGTAAATTCGTAAGGTAAGTAGTATATCCGACTTCAACATTTCCCATATAGCAATGAAGAATGGCATTGAGAATCTATCAGGGTTTGAAGCCTTGTCAATGGCACACTGTTTAAGCCCCTCTAATATTTCATCCTCTTCAAATTGTTTTTCCAGCCACATCTGCTCTTTAGTGAGATCCTGGTATTCCCTTGGAGTGTGAAATCCAATGTCGAATTCGCAGACGCCTTGTAGAGTTCCTGATAAAAGCCTATTCGAGGCTGGATGGTCGCGCCCCACAAGGACCCAACCTTCCTTTTGCTCTTCCTTCGGTTCGCCTCCACGAACGCGCCACTTAGGAGCCCTACTCATATTCCAAAGGCGCTACTTCAATTCAAGCGCAAGCCCCCCCCCCCCTTTTCTATTGCATAACTTAAAAAATCTCACTGTGGAATTTTTTATTTCTTCATGATTAGTAACTTCAGCCCCTTCGACATTGAGGATTTCAATAATGTTGAATCTTCTATGAGCATTGACCATTTTGAGGAAATACTTCGTGTTTTGTCACCGTTTTTGATCCATTGTATCATGGATCTATGTCTCCAAGCAATTTCCCCAATTCTGGAAACCTCTTTAAACTCCATAGTCAACTAAACTTTCTGCAATTGTTCGTCATCTGTCAAAAGTTTGAGATCTTGAATGGATTCCAATTCCTGACTTGTGATAGAATCAGATCTTCCCTAACCTTCCAATTGTTCTTGTTGGCTTTGCTCCATTCTTTACTTTCAAATGACTAAGCTTAGAAGCCAATTAAAAATCAGGTCTGTCTGTTGCATTAAAGCTGCTCCACCATTCTTTCACCTTGTCAACGAATCCTTCCTCCTTAAGCCACCAATTTTCAAATTTGAAATATAATTTCCTACGTTTCCAATCTCCAACGGATACTAGGATGGAGTAATGGTTCGAGCCAAGTTGTGGGAGAACACTTTGGATAATTATGGAGAAACTCTCATCTCACTTGGAAGAGAATAAGATCTACCTATTCTTGTGGCACAACTGTGATTTTAACCTCTCTTTCATGTATAACACCTTTGAGAAAAGGAGGATCCAGTAATTCAAGATCATTTATGTGTTGGTTGAAATCATCCATGGCTCTGGTTATTATATTATCGTTTGTCATTTTAAAGGGAAATCTAGGTACATTAAAGTCCCCACAGATCAATTAGGGCCCTTCACATATTCCTCTCACCACAATTCTTCTCTTCTATTTATGTCACACTCTAGATATACAACAGTAAGATACCAAGTCAAGCCTTGGTTGATCCCAGATAGTTTAAAAGTGAGCATCTGACAACCATTAAGTAGTACTCCAAATTCTTTGTTGAGTTTGATGAGATTGATTTGCACCCATTCTATTGATCTGGCCTCAACCTCTCACTCCATACACTTGAGTCCGATTACATTGGACTCGTTCATCAAAATACAACAATTGTGTGTCCAGAATCTCCATTGTGGTGTCTACCTCATCACTTGCAATCAAAGGCATTGAGTTGTCATGAGAATTTTCCAGTTCTATTTTGGAATTATGCTTGATCCTTTATATTGCCATAAAATGTACTCTCCAGTTCCATGCAAGTGTAAATCTCTCCCTTGTGAAGATATTCAGATGTGATGTTCCATTGAAGGTCCACATCCAACATAATCTTGAGGCAGAGTAGATTGTACCTCTCCTCTCCTCGAGAGAGTCACCGTTTTCTCACTTCGTAAGTGTTGTTTTGTACTTTCTCTAGTTGCCAGTAGGTTGTCAATTTCCGATCAGTTGCTGGTAGCTCCGACCAGATTGGGAGGGACATCAGATGTCCATCTCCGATATCAATGGATACCGAAATCTTCTCTCGCAGTCCCTTCACACGAATCCTGGCCCATCAAAGGTGGTTTTATTAGCCCCCTCTTTTCTTCTGTTTACAGCCATCCACCACATCTATCCCCCATTTCCCTAAAGGTAAAGTTTGACCAAAAATGCAGCGGAAGACTAACCACTCGAATCTAGATCCAGTTAAGGTTTGAGCTACTATGTAAGGTTCCAACAGTTGGCGACCACCGTTATAGCATCAACTGTATGTTTTGCCTCTTCTAGTTCCGCATCAAAAGATTTTTTGCCACCTTTCTCAGACAAAATTCGAAAAGGATTTGAATTCATACATGCCGTATACTTTAGCTACCTAGACTCCATTCCGAATTTGTTGAAGCCATCTTTTGATGTCGTTAGGAGTTGGAGTGTCTTCAGCCCCTGTGAAACTCCCCACCAAGCATCTTTCCAGCATGCCTTTTTCCTCTGTGTCTCTTAAGTCCATTTGTTCTTGAAAAGCATCTCTTTGTTAACTATTCTCCTCTCTAATTTGATTAAGGAGTTTATGTTGCTTGTTTGTGATTAATGTTGTACGATTTCTATCAATGAAATTTTTTCTATTTTAGCAACTAGAACATTTCATCCCTCATTGCATGTGTTTTGTTCACTCTTTGTCATGTCATTTCCTTTAACAGTAATCACTAAGACGAATCTTTTTCTTTTTGAAACTGGTAAGGTTGAATTCTTCGGCATTATGGGTATGCTGGCTACATCCAAAAAGGAACAATTACAGATTTCCTCTCAAATCTATAATCTGGTCTTATATCATCTATACAAAGTTGTTTACACCAAAAAAGTAGAGATACTATACAATTCCATTTAACTTTGTGGATGAAATTGAATCTATCTTTAAAACATCTTCCATTTCTTTCTTTCTGGTCGATTGAACTTTTGCGTTAAGAAAATGTTGGTTGTGTTATCTCTGCATTTCCAAGACTTGAAGGTTTTTCCTCTATTCTACAATGCCTCCTTCAGCTTTTGGCATATCCAAGACATGGCTCCCTTGCTGAGTATCAACTTACTCATGTGGTATCTTCCACTTCCGATCCAATCATACCAAATACCTTATTTGGGTTTAGATGATATCATAAGATTTTCCCCCTAGGCGGGAGATGATTATGTTGTCCATAAAACAAGTAGGTTGAGTTGAGAAAAGGTGGGTTTAGATGGCAGCTCCGGTGGACTCCAAGGTAGAAGATGATTATGTTGTCCATGAAACAATTAGGTTGAGATGAAAAAAGGTGGGTTTTAGATGGCGACTCCAGTGGTGGAAGTCAACCGGAGAGGGGAGAGATTGGGCTCAGTAGGGACCTCAATTTAGGGTTATCGCGAATGTGCCTGGGAGCTTTTTTGCTATTTGTTTTATTATTCAATCAATTACTTGACACCCTTTTATATCTTTTATTATTGTTCTTAGTTTTAGGGTTTTGTTTCTTTTTTCCGCATTGCATTATTTGATTTCAAGATTTTGTTTTAATATTTTTTTCTTTTCAAAACAAGTAATTTTTTCTCAGCACATTACATATATAAGTAAGACGCCTTATGGTAAAAAGTTCAAAGACCAAATTGTCCTTCAAATGTTGAATTTTTTTGCCCTTCGAGTAAGCACTACTTCGATTGTATATTTGTAAATATGTAAACATACAGTTTAAGAAATAGGGTTAATTCCTACCTCACATTCATAGTATGCATTAAATTTTAGAAAGTTGCTTTTAGTAACGGTAATCCCAACATTAACTTTTTCTTAGAGCTGAATTTATTGTTCTTATATTAACGTACAATGTACGTGTTAGCTTGTATTAGTGTATATATACCCGTTTGACATTATAGTGAAGAATCCATAATGTCACTTCGATGACTTCTCTACTCCCCAATGGATACTTGCGAAAAATCAGCCGATCTATTCATGGAAAATCCATGTACAAACTATTCTTCTTCGATCACTTTTCAAAAATTATATTTGAGAATGATTATAATAGTTGTTTTAATATTAAAATTTTAATCTTAATCCTCTGAAATGATACTTTTTTCATATTGAACCATGTTTAACACTAGATCAAATGTGACTCTTGTCCCAACTAATATTGATATTTTTGAGAAGCAATCCAGATAAACTATAACTATAACTCTGAAGATTGTAAAAGTGCTATTGTGAAATGGTACTACAAGTTGGCTAACTAGCATCTGTTTTGATCGCTTTCTTTGGAATAAAAATTGCACGTTTACATCTTATTGCTAATATGTTTTGATAGTTGACCGATGTCATCCGATTATTGGTGTACAAAAAGATATACACTCATTGTAAGTTTAGGTTGGTACTGGGACACTTCAGACACCAATGGTGGACTTGAATTTAATACCCTCGTTGTTTCACTTTGTTTTCATAATCTGACTTGAAATAAAGTTTAATAAAGAAATAAAACTTTTGAAACTTGTCTTTGAAATATGTCATAACTATGCAAAAACTCTCAAAACGTGTTGGTGTTAAACATATCATAATGTGTATGGTTGTAAGAGCTTTCCATTGAGGAGACATCTAGGAATGAATCATTCTTTTTTGGGAGGGATACTAATACAAAGAGAGATCCAAACAACCTGAAAAGAAGCAAGTAGTTCCCTTTCTTCTTTTTTGATGACCTTGGTGTCCTGACCAGCTTTCGCACACCTTGACTAAATCCACAGGATACCTGTCACCTCCTACCAACAATAGGTACCAAATAACATAGTCCACCAAGGCTACAACAGATGGAAAGAGTCACCTAGGCCACACCCTTGGATGCCAAGTAGTTCCTTTTTAAAATGAAGTGCTTCTAATGTATTATGTTATATGTATTCGTCATGGATGGATATGAAGAGAACCAACATCCATTTTATGGATCTTTATGAACCTTGAAGATTTTAATGAAAGATCAAACTATGTATAGACAATGCCTTAAATATTGAAATTGAAATGTTCCTTTTTGGATTTTCTTTCTAATAATTGGTCCTTCAAGTTTGTCACTATAACTCGAAGAACAATATGCAACTGTTATCTCCAGAACTATATTCATACGACTCGATATTCTTGTGTAGACAAATTTTAGAAATATTCAACCTAACATGTTATTATTAGTTGTAATAGTACAATTAATTTGAGAGAATTCCCAAAGCAAATTTCTTATTATTATTTCTACAAATGACACCCACATTTTAGTAACAGTAGTTGTATACTTCCAAGAGGATACTAATATCACAACAGATGTATTAGTCACATCACAGAGCAACAAAGACATTATAATAAGCTATCCATACAACATCAGTAAAGAAATATTAGGTCACGTACTTGAACTTCATCAAAAGTGGTACAAATACAAATCTTACCAACCTAAATAAATAAATAATAAATTCTTTTTTTCGGTTAGTTAAACTGCAATGTTGCTTTAATAGGATCCTTAATTCCTTTTTCATCATTTGGAGCTTATATTTTGTTATCATTAAATGTTTTGTATCCCATGCACAAGTTCAAATATTATTTCAGTCACATTGAAAAGTTTGTACTTACTAAAACTAAATACACGTGTTCACAAGCTAGTGTCACTACAAGCATAGAAGTCCCTGGGTATGATTTGAACAGGCAATGCCATCTTTTTTTTTCCAGAGCAACTATCACAGAATCAATACATATATGAAAATCTTTCTCACGTAAAATCAATTATGATGATCTATTTCCAATTTTTCTTTTTTTGGAGAAAGGATGGTCTAATTCCAGATGTAAACTAGTCAAGTGAAGAAAATGGAGAAGAAGACAAAGTGACCATGGAAACAATCTTCACCAAGTAAGCAATATGGAAAAAAAAATCCTTGAGAGTTGTTGCTTTATTATGAAGAGAAATTATTCTCAAAAATGCGTTAATGGTATTAGAACAAAAAATATTTTTCCAGTATTCCCCAGAAATTATCTTTAACATGACCATATTGACTTAAAACACCTTCATGTATCAAGAAGCATAAAAGATATTATCATTGTCCTGACATCCAACAGAACACAGTAATGGACATACTACAAAGAAAATTATTGAATCTGGATGGAAGAAGCATACAATTTTTTAAGTGCACGTAGAACAAGTAGGAAATTCACCTATACTGCCTATGCTGATTAAGCTCATTGACAGGCAACGGACAGAGGAAACTTACATGGCGGAGAGGAATCTGAATTTTCTAAAGCATTGAAGAAACAACAGGCAGACGACAAATACTTAAGATCCCATGCAGCATTACATCTCATTGCTGCCACACTAATAGAATTTCTTTTTAAATTTCTTCATGCAAAATGTTACAGAAACTATTAAATCAAAACTCACTAGAAGCTAAAACCATTTTAGAATGAAAGAGAGATGTAATTACAAACCTGATGTACAGCATAAGGCGCAGGGTACAGATTCTCTCCATATCCTGTTTCAGGATTTCCATAATTGGCAGAATATGTAAAATCTGCAAAGATAAATCACAATTTCTATCTTAATTAGCTGAGTGTTCTATGAAGTAGATAACTAGATAATAACGATAAACTCTAAAGGAGCAGCAAACAAGTGATTTGAATTACTCGGAGTTGCTGCAGAAATCTGGTGATTTAAATTACTTGGAGCCGCTGCAGCTGCTGCTGCCCTTGCCCTCTTCTCTGCATTTGCAAGCTCAGCATGTAGTTTCTCAATTTCAGAAGCCAGAGTAATCTTATGTTTCTCCATTGCTTGACTATATTCAAGGTTGCTGGTGTGCATCTTTTTTTCATAGTCGATAGCAGCCCTGTTCATGTACACAGCAGAAAAAAATCTCTAAATATCACCAAGAGTATGCGAGCTTGAGAAACAACAATACAAGAACAAATGCACGCATGTGATGCAGAAATGACCAAAATGGCAATATGAACTACAAAGGGGCTCATGTCACAGCAAAGCTACTATATCTGTAATGTGGCTTTCCATAGCAATGTCCATTGACATCATAGAAATGTGACCTTGACGCATGATCGCCACAATTATTTTTTTATGATAGTGGTGTGCAGCCAGGTTGCACGCACATCGACAGTTTCACAGAGTACCTGCTCCTTCCCACCAGCACAGGCAGAGGTACATATGGGAAGAATCAACTAGTGTTTTTTGCCACCACATAGATCTAAACCGGAGACCTCATGGTTCTCCTCCTACTTCCCAAATGGATAGATATTTAACAAACATAATGAACCTTTAACAGCATCTGAACTAAAGTAGGGTTAACACATGACATTGAAGAATTTAAAGTGATATCCTTCATATACTAAAAAGGGAACAAGAAGTTTTGCTCATTAATAAACAAACGTGGAGGACCTTCAACCACATCTGAGCTAAAGTAGGGTTACCTAATATTGGAGAAGGTGAACTGATATTCTTTTGAGTTTGAGTAGGTTACATTTCAATTTGGATATAACTATGACTTCAACAGCAAACAAAGATCTCCAATTGTCCATATTTCATCATTGATTGCAAAGGCATGTGTTGTCTTCCTTTTCTTTTCTAAAATCAGTAAATCTTTTCTAGAATCTCTTCGCATGTATCTGAGATGTACTAAGAGAGGGATTAGGCTTCTTATATCATGATAAACCATAATTATTATGATGTCAAGTTGTTTTTCACTGATTTAAACCTTGCATCTACTGTTGCTAATCTATTTGGTATTAAGAATCCACTTTCACATGGGTCTTGTTTCCATTAGTAAAACCAGGCTTGAAATATATCTCTTTAAAAATAAAGAATGATTACGAGTCTTCCTTGAGATCAGTGGTAGATTAAGGGGGTTGTCTGGATGGGCTTTTTTAAAGTGACTTATAAGTCCAAAGCTAAAGTCATAAGTTGGAGACACACAACTTTTGACTGTTGGCTTTTTTTGGTACTTTTTCAGCCTTAAAAGGTGCTTAAAAGCACTTCTTAAGTTACCTACACACTTCCAAAACTTAAAAAATAGCTTAAAAGTCAAAATCCACTAAAAATAAGTCAATCCAAACACTCACTAAATGATTTAGTGTTTCACTAGGTCAAGGGTTTGTGATTCGTATCAATGACAATCAAAAGAATAATCCATGCTTATCTTCTTTTTTTTTTTGAATGAGACGGAAAATTACAATCAGTTTATCACAACGAGGTCAACTACAACTCTACAAGTAGAACTGAAGTGTTCTAAGCCAAAGAAAATTCAACGCATACCATAGGGAAGGCGAAAAGCTCCGACTTAAGGTGCATTTCAAAATCCCTGATGATTATCTTGATCTTAATTTTTTTAATGACCGTGGTACCTGGACTAGCTTTTGTACACCTCGATTAGTTTCATGGGTTACCTGTCACCTCCCTCCCATCAGCAACATGTACCAGGTTACTCTATCCACGAAAGGTAGGACAAATGAGAAGAATCCCCTAGTGTTTTTTGTCGCTTCTGTTTTGAACCTGAGACCTTAGGATTCTCAACCACTCCATTGACTACTAGGTCCCACCCTTGTAATCCATTCTTATTGTTTTTGTCTTTCTTATAACTTATTATCTCATTTCACACAGATAAGATGAGATCAGGAAGTGTAGTGGGGATAGTCTTATAAAACCACAAAAAGTTTGTACGAACATGTTCATAGAAAAGGAATACAACACGAAAATTTTTGATGATGATTGGTCATCTCAAAAGAAACAAATGATAAATGACTATATAGCAGCATATCTCATTAAATAAAGATCCGTTTTTGCATCCATATTATCTTCAAAATTTACATCCTTGTATCTTTTTCTTACCTAGCTACTTTTTAGTTTAGATATTGCTAGCAATTGCATAAAACACAACTACTTGTTTTTTTGTTTTGCTATCAAAGATACTTAAATTATTGTTATTGAAATCATCCTCAGTCAAGTAAACTCATGTTGCAGCAAGTGCCATTGATTTGCCGTAAAAGCATACACTGGAATAGGGAGTAGTGGGTTACCTTCCTCGTTGAACTTCCTTACGCATGGACTCCATTTCGGCCTTGATTACGGGAAACTGCTGTAACTCGGAACCAACTTTGACGAGATCTTCCTCCATGTTCTGCAATTTGGCAGTGAGCTCTTTACGGTCGTCAACTAGGTTCTGAATATCACTCCTAACCCGAGCCAAATCTACTCTAAGCTCATCGAGTATACAAACATCAGACTCCTTCTTCCGTGCCTCGTCGTAAACCTCACGGACTTCAGCATCCCTTTCGGTCTTGACGGTTGCGGCTGTGGAAGAGAGAAGACGGAGCTCGTGCTGGATGGCGGAGAGCTCCTGGTTAAGAGAGACGTGTGCGCCCGCTAGGCTGCGGTTTTCCTGGAGCAATTTTTCAATCTCGCGTTGCTGAGCAACTTCCCGATCATCAATTAAGTCTGACGGGTGAATACGGAGTTGGAGTTGGAGATGGGGTTGGGGTTGGGCTTCCGGTGGTGCAAAACGGCGGCGAGAATCATCTGTATAAGGGGCGTGGCGGCATTTTCGTCTCGTCATGACCACTGCACAGATGGAAAAAGAAAAAGGAACACTCAGAATTTCATTTTGTTTTTTCTTTTTTTTGGTAAAAACAAGTATTAATTTAAGGAGAAAGCTTAAATATGGTTCACTTGCTTTATATATTTCAATTAAAAAAATTATTTCATTATTTGCTTACTACAATTAATTTTGTTGCAAAATTATTTTTCTTATGATTCGATTATGTCATTAATTAAATTATTTTTTAAAAAAATATATATTAATATATTATTCAATTTTGAGAAATGACTTACTTTTGATTGCATCATACTCGTTTTCTATTTTTTCATACAACTCCAATTCAATTTTCTATTTTATTCTCTAGAAAATAATTTTCTTCTTTCTCCTCAATATTATATTAGTTCTATTTAATTCTTATTTTCTTATTTCATAATTTCTTCTTTCTTTCTTCCAAATAATCACTTTTATATAATTTTCATTTGTTACAAATTTTTAATTTTTTCAAATTTTTAATATAAAATTTTATTTTATTCTAAATTTGTAAATAACATTAAATTGAGGCAAATATTATATAATATATAAATTAATAAAAAATTCAAATAAAAGTAAAATCACTAATGAAATATAATTACATAAACATTACATAAATACCCAACTTTCAAGATTATTATGTTGCTTCCATAAATGTTTTATTAACACATTATGGAGTTCAAAATGAGTTTTTTGTCCTTAATTTTTTTATATCTAGCTAAAAATTGTTCAAATCCAAACTTTTCATCTACCACCATTTTTGTCGTTACAGTTGGAGTCTCTACGACATCTTGAATTAGTGCATTAAGTTTAAATTCATCCTCGATTGTCATGTTGTGAAATATAATACATGTAGTCATTATATTATTTAACACTACCTTTCTCCAAAAATGTGATTGTCCCACAATAACTGGAAAACTTGATTGCTAACCTCCTATTGTACGTTCAACATCTTTTTGGCTTGATTCTTGGTTCATCGTGAAATATTCCTTCTTTTGAGAACGTGGATTACGAATAGTATGAATAACTGTAGACCATTTAAAGTTGTGCATTCTTAATAGTGAAAATTAATAATAATATCAAATTATATAAAATAGACAAAAAAAATTAAAAAATTGATATATTATTAATTCGAAATGAAAGTAGTGTATATTAAATAATATATATTTCTAAAAATATTATACTACATTTAAAAAGAATTACGAATATTAGAGATTCAATTCTTAGTCTTATATGAAAAATAATATATTAATTACAAAATAATTAAAATAATAATAAAATAATTAAAAAGTGAAATATAGAGTATATGGAAAACTAAGAGTCAACTCTATATATATAGAGAATAAGGAGTGAACTTGAGAGTGGTTGGAAAGCTCATTCTCTATTTTACTCTCCAAATATAGAGAATGGAGAGTAAAATAGAGTGAGGTTGGAGATGGTCTTAGCAAGTGCAATTTCTCAACTCATATGCAATTTCTCAAAGATTGTTGTTTATGTCACACTTAATTGATAAATTGATAACCGCACTAATGAAAATATCTCAATGGTTTAGAATATCTACAAACTGATTATCGATAAGTCAAATCGATAAACTTCAAAACTTAGCTGAACCGACTGATATATAGTGCTAATGGTATTGATTAAAAAAATTGTTCATTCATTTCATTTGAGTGAATAAATAATTATATGAATGAGCCTTTTGTAGCACCTCCGAAATTAAAAGTTCAGTTGAAAATAAAAGTGCAAAAGAGTGTGCTCATACAAGTTTAAACAAGGGCAAGTACAGACTATACAAGGTCCTATGGTCCGTACAAGGCATTCAAAGTCTTCAAAGTTGGAATTTTTTTAAGCCTATAATAGGATTTCACAGGCCGATAGGGTGGCTCGTGAATGGTTGCACGGGTTGTAACACTTGGTCATGGAGTGATATTTGGGACTTAGAAGGAATTCTTGACTTGGATGTACGAGAGGTCGATGGTTCGTGGAAGGGTTGACGGGTCGTGGCTTAAAGTTTAGAATCTTGATCTCCATTATTTGGTCTACAATTGATTAGTACCATGAATTCGTAGGGTAAATTCGATAAATTTCGATTAAAGTTTATTTGGGTATTTTTCTACCTTTTTAATACATAAGATTTGTTGTTTCTAGATTATTCCTAATCCCTATAACTAATATTAGTCTTCAAAATTCTCCCATTTCCTTGAGTATCTCAAAATCCTGAAAGCTCACAAGGTTTTCTTCTCCAAGGATTCTCCATAAGTGATTTGGGGGGTTTTCAAGCTTTTAGGTCTCCTCTTCCAAGCTCAAGGCTAGAGTTCTTTAAGGTATGTGGAAAGTTCATTAATGGGTCCCTATTCATCCATTAAATCCCAAAGAATCTTCTATTTATCTCTCAAAGGAGTCTAACCCAAATTTTAGGATTTTGCATTATTGTTTATGAATAAATTCATTATATTTGATTTAATTTGCATGATTTAATCTAAGAGACATGTTTTTAATGATTTTCACATGAATTCATGCCGCATGAATGTTTTATGATTTTGAATTAAGCTTGAAGATATAAATGCATTACGAATCGAGAAATTTATAGATCAAGGATGCTTTTAGATTATGTATCAACATGTTTTATGAAAAGATTGTTTACATTTGAAGTATTCTTATTATGAAAAGAGGATCATGATTAAATAAGTGTCGTTACGACTATGTTATGAAATCATGATTTTGAAAGGATCTATTTTATATATGTTATTAAGTTTACGATTGAATTGGTATTACTATATTTTTACCATTTCAAGGTATTATGGTTATGATATGAGTATGCATATTTATATTGAGAGTTTATTTAGCAATTAGTGAACTTTGATGGAGGCTCACCCATTAGTCGATGCAGAGTTCTTTACTAGTGTCGCGCTCCATTTTTCGCAAAAACGGGTTTTGTGCACGACCTAACAACTGTTTTGGGATTTTGATTTTGGAGTCGCCACTACTCTTGCCTGTGAAGGGGAAGGGAAGGAGAAGGAGAGAAAGAAGAGAGGAAGGGGAGACGGAGGAAAGAGGGGGGCTTCCACCACTTGGGGCGATTCCCTCCGGAAAGAATGGAGAAAGAGAGGGGAAGAAGTTGGGGAGGTAAAGAGAGGGAGAAGGGCGCGGGGGGAGAGGGGTGGAAATAGAGGTTGCTGGTTGGCGTGCGCCTGGAAGCTGCTGGCTGGCATGCACCTTTCCAGGCGCTGCAGCTACGCGGGTTGCCGGTGTTCCCGTCCGGCTGTCTCCCTTGCCGGAAAAAATGGAGGAGAGGGAGAGGGAGGTGGCAGGAGAGGAAGAGAGGAAGAAGAATAAATTCATTTTAGGTTTTGGGTTTTTTAGTGTTAAAGAGAGATAGAAAAAGTTGATCTCAACCGTTGATCTAATTTTAAATGAAGGGCTAGGATTAGATCTAGGAATTATTTTTTAAGATGGATGGATGAGATTAAAAAATGAAAAATTTAAATCAAATTGATTGGAGGATTGGATGGCTAAAATTGCAATTAAATTGGCTAGAATTGAAATGAAAGAGTGGCTATGATTGTAATAAAAATTTAATGGGAGTGGCTAGAATTGGAAGAAATTATAATAGAATAGGCTAGAAATTAAATAATTATAAGGAAAGTTTAAGAATTGCTATTCAATTAAAATACTATATATATTAATATATTTTTTTATAATTGAAAATCATTTAGATTTTAAAACATTTGAAATTCATTAATAATTTAAAAATATTTTAATAATATTTACGATAGTTTTATTAAGTAAACATACTAGAATATATAATTTTTTCAAGTAAAATCGACTAAATTCTAAACTTTAACTAAATTTTAAAATACGTATTTAATCGAATAATATTCCTAAAAATAATTAAAGGTTGGTCAAAATTGGGTGTCAACAGCTGCCCCTTGGTTGATTGAGAATAAAGAATGAATTGTCAGGCAACCAACGTTGACTTAGTAGCCGATTTTGTCCAACCGACGACAGATGTCAGTAGGATCAATTGAAGCGAGGTAGAGTTGAAAAAAGGGTACGACCGAGACTTTGGTATTAAGCCGCCTACATATCTCTGGTTATACGAGAATCAGGTCGTGTGTAGTTCTAGATTCAAGAGCAAATGAAACTCTTAAAAATTGAAAGAGCGCTAAGGTGTTTGAAAGGCACGATATCGGCTTGAATGGATAAGAATAAAGTAGATAGAAAAGAGAGATTGAGAGGCTAAAAGAACTATGACAGAAAAGCAGGAAGAGCATTATAGAGTGAGGTTATCAGCCTTTGAGCAAGGTTTGGGGCAAAGAATTGATAGGGTCTTTGTTGTGATAGGTGATAACATGATAATTGTTATCAGGGGCGACGATCATATCTGCAAATTCTAGATAAAATGTCAACTTATAAATAGATAAAGTATGACCAATAATAATAAAATATGAGTTCTAAATAAATGACAAGAGGTGATAAGCAGCGTATCTGTTTGAGACATAGTGCAAGCCTTGATAATCTTTAACTTTTTGAAAGATTGAAACCCATCTCTGAAGAATAATGTCAAACTCCAATAGATTTGATAGTATAGCGATATAATAATATAGACGAAAATATTGTAAGGAGAGTCTAAACATAATTTTAAGGCGGACGAGCCTAAGTGTCATTTTAAGGCGGACGACCTAAATGTCTTATAAAGAGGACGAACATAAATTTCCTATGAGGCGGACAAGCCTAAATGTCCTTTTAAGGTGAACGACCTAAATGTCCTATAAGATGGACAAACCTAACTGCCGTTTTAAGGCGAATGGGCCTAAATGTCCTATAAGATGGATGAGCTTAAATGTCACTTTGTAAGGCGGACGAGCCTAGATGTTGCATTGTAAGGCGGACGAGCCTAAATGTCGCATTTTAAGGCGGACGAGCCTAGATGTCGCATTGTAAGGCGGACGAGCCTAGATGTCTCATTGTAAGGAGGACGAGCCTAGAGTCACATTGTAAGGCGGACGGGCCTAGATGTTGCATTGTAAGGCAGACGAGCCTTGATGAAGAGATAGTAGGTT